CTTGCCATCAAGTCCATAAAAACAGAAAATTAGAAGTGGTTGCAAACACCTCATTGAAACAGAAGCCTTGCTTTATGATGTACCTGCACCTTTCCTAGGAAAATTGACTCTTGGGAGATTGATAAATATAAATTGTCACCCTCTCAGCATAGCGCATGATTTTGGATTGAAATTATTTTCCCAGACCAAAGAGTATTTTGTGTAAAGTTTTGGTTTTTTATGTGGTGTGTGCCCTAAGATATGCTGGCCAAGGAAACCGAACTAATGCAGTGTTTGCTTACAGTGGCAGTATTGGATTCAGTGTACTCTTTAAATGAGGGCTTGGTTCCGGACAAGAGTGGCTCATGGGACCCAAAACTTTCAAGCAACCCAGGCTATATTCATGATTTGCTAGCTACATAAATGTCAGAGGAAGAAGTTTCTGTCTCCTTCCTATACCTCATGGTCACACTGAGGGCCAGTAAAACTTGGAGTTAACTGATTTTGTTTTACATTTTAATATAAAGTTTCAGATCCAGTTATATCTACTATGGAAAATAAATATACAGAAAGTATTTCTAACAGCTAGATTTCACTTTCATCCTTGTTCTACATCTGAATGTGGGGTTCCCCTTTGGGTTGGCCCTTGTAGGAGAGGTAATGCCTCAGAATCTGCCTATTTTTCTTTCTCAAATAGCTGTGGATTTTTTTTGGTTTTTTTTTTTTTTGGTTTTTTTTTTGCAAATTGAGTGTTATGAGTTGAGTGGAGCTGTGTACCCCTAAAATTTGTATGTTGCGGTTGTAGGTACTGTGTCCTCGGGTGATGACTGTATTTGATAATAAGGCCTTTACGGGGGTAATTAAGTTAAAATAGAGTTTTAGAGGGGCGTAATCCAACGTGACTGTAAAAGAAAAAGAGATTAAGACCCAGCCAACACAGGAGTGATCACAGGAAGACATGGCAAGGCAGTGGCCACCTGCAAAGGAAACAAAAAGGTCTCAGGAGAAACCAACCTTGCCCACACCTGGATATTGGACTTCCAGTCTCCAGAACAGTGGGAAAATAAGCTTCTATTATTGAAGCCACTGTTGTGTTATGACAGGAAGCGTGTTCCTGCATGTACATACCAGAAACTCATTATTTCTGGGTAGCTAACAGTTGCTTGTGTAAGTGCCGCTCTGTGCCAGGTGACAGTGGCCCCGTCGACTATGGTGGAGCTAATGCTTGGCACCACTCAGCCTTGGAATCTGCAGAGTCAGCAGTCTGTGCCCCAAGAATACATACCCCTTTGGCCCTTCCAGCCCAGCCCCCGAGAGGCATGAGGGATGGAGGGAGGTCTGCTCGGTCACAGTAGAGTGTGCAGGGCCACCCGAATTGTGGGGTGACACAGTCAAGGCGGAAGCTCCATAAAGGCAGACCTGAAATGTGGGACAGTCTCAGAAGTCATGGGCAGAGGAGGAGAGGGGAGCTTTCAAGGCTGGAATTCAGGGCTGGCTTTTTCTGTATCCGCTGCACTTTTTTCTACTGTATCTGCACAGCACAGGCTGCACAGCAAGAGGTTGAATGCAGGAGCTGGGGGATTGGGCACAGAGAGGAGCTGGGGGGCATGGGCTTCAAAGCAAGTGGAGCAGGTTTTCAGTGAGGCCAGAGGAGGAATTAATGCAGATGCCCTTGCAGGTGTCCTGTGCTGCTGTTGGCAAAATCCACCCGCATGAGCCTCTTTTGTATTTTAGCTTCAAAACTCAGTCCAAGTTATAGAAATAGTTGGAGAAAACTGCCATGGAGAAAGGGGTCAGCATAAGGGAGCAAGTTTGGAGACAGCCCAGGCGACATGCTGCAGCCCGGGTGCAGGCCTCAGAGGGAGGACACCCTGGTTCATGTGAGCTGGGGGGGTTCTCAGAAGCCACGCCCCAGCTTTCTTCAGCACCCCACCAGAAGACTCCATCAGCCCCCCTAGAAGATGTCTTCCTAACCCTTTGCACTTTTCTTTCATAGCATCCATTGCTGTTGGTGATTCTGGATTTGTGTGATCATAATTGTATCTATCCTCCCCATCATATTCCCAGTCCCTAACGTGGTCCCTGCCAAGAGTAGACACTCAAGAAATATTTGCTGAACAAGGGAATGAACTGATTGAGTTCATTCATGAACTGATTTGCTGAACAAGTGAATGTTGAGATCACCTTCCAAAGGGAGCCTCCCCCTTGGTGCAGAACACTGAGGAAGCATGGAAGGGCAAGGTCAGAGGGACGGCCCCGCTGGGACTAAACTGAGCAGCCTGTGCCCACCCAGCCCCAGGATCTCAGGTTAGGGACCCCCGCAGACCTGAAGAGCAGCTCGTGTCTGGGCAGCTCCAAGTGCTCTAGAAGGCCTGGGAAGCCCTCAAGAGCAGGGCTTTGGGGATTTGGGAAAGGACTTGGACATGTGAGCCCCAGAAAATGTACAAGGGAGACAGAGGACCTGCCTCGCCTCGGCTAGAGATGTGAAGTAGGCCAGAGGAGGTGGCGTGCACACAGCTGTCAGTGCCTCCAAGCCTTTCTCAGAACAAACTGGACCAGACAGAACTTTATTCCCCAAGGGTTTCTGCTAGGAGGCAGGATCATGCAATGAGAAAGAAACTGGCTGGAAATTGTAACCCAAAGTCTAGTCCTGGCCTTGACCCTGACCCATTGAGTGACCTTGGGCAAGCTCCTTCACCTCCCGGGGATGCTCTCTTCCACAGTTTGTAGTGTGGCTTATTTTAAGGGTCGTGCATGCCACCTGTTGCTGCCATTTTCACACGGGAGAGCCCTGGGACCTTTTGTTAAGCCAAGGTTGCTGGCTCTCAACCAGAGGTGACCTTAATGCTCAGACACTGTGAGCACGTGGGATCAGCCCGAACCCCTGTCCTGCTAATGTCCTCTTTCTCCTCAGTCCTGCTGTCTCCATGTAAGGGCACAGCATGGACGATTGCCTTTAAAATTGTTTCCTAAAAGGCTCACACGGCAGATGCAGTGAAGGCAGGATGGCAGTTGGCACCTCTTGCAGTTCCCACTGAGAGTGACAAAACCTTGCCGGTGCAGGAGCAGAGCTCTGGACCCTCGGCCGAGGCCTTGCTTTGGATTGTGTTCACAGCATTCTCCCAGTTCGGCTTCTGCACTCAGACTGGGTTGTCCCAAATCCCACAGTGGCCCATCCTGGGCCATTTCTGAGCTATCCAAATGTACTCAGTGAGCAATGCTCAAAGAGCCCAAAAGGCCCGTGACAGGAAGCTGCTTTTCCAGAACCCCCTAGTGCAATTTTGTCCTGGGACCAAACACGGGCAGTGACATGGGGCCTTTGCCCTGAACTACCTACGATGCCGAGAGCTGCCAGATTACTAACTTGGTCAGAGAAGATCATTCAGATAAACTCTGCTGAATCAAGAATGTAGTCTTTATTTTCATGGCATGGATATATTGGGTGAATGTGGCCTATATAATAATGAGCCACTTTCACGTGAGCCTCAGAAGGGGCAGGTACAGACTGGCCAATGTTACCAACCCTGCCCAAAGGAAGCCTGAGAAGGGGCAGCAAGACCCTGCCCAGAAATACTCTCTTGCTTCAAAGCCCTGAGGACCCAGACCCTGAGAAATCCCAGCTGAGTTGTTCGCAGCCCTGACTTGCTCATAAGAAGTGGATCTGATTGGTCTCAGCCTTCCCACCAGGGCAGCCCTTCCTGTGAGAGTCTCACTTCTGGGGTCATCTGCTGGGATGTCCATCGGTGTCAGCACTCAGTAACAACCTTCAAGAACCAAACTAAATACCCAGCAATTCTGAGCAGCCAGAGGCCCAGTCCTGTCCACCCCACCTACCCCATGTTCGGGACCCACCAGTTCTGAGCCCCACATCCTGCCTCGTGATGGGGGAGGCTGCCCTGTAAGAGGCCACTGTCAGCTCTCCTGGGGAAGGGGAAGTGGACCTTGCCACTGGGGGGGGGAAAGTTCCCTCATGTGGCGCAAGGCCATCTGGGCGTGATGTAATACAGGTTTCCTTAGCAAAGATGTCATAAACACAGGGCGAGGCAACACATTCCTGGTTCCCAAGGCTCAAAGGCAAGTGGCTGCCAGAAGGGTTCTACCCTACAGGGCAGAGCATCTGCACTCCACTAGGCTGGATTGCTATATCGTACTCATTTTGGTCCTTCCCCACCCCCACCCCTGCCATGTTCCTGCGGTGCCCCTGGGTTCCCGCACTCCTCATCTGGCAGCAGTTGTCGTTCCTGGTCCTGGCAGCCCCGATTCCAGAAAGGCACTGGGTCCCGCCGACCACCAAGCCAGAGTTGTCCCCTGAACCCTGGTCTTTGCCTAATCTCTTGCCAGAATTGCCCGATGCCCTTACTCGGCACCTACAGCCGGAGGGCTTTGATGACCTAGAGTCTTCTGCTCCCTCCCTGGAGTTGTCCCCAATTCTAGAATCTGCTGAGCAAACTGAACTTTCTCAGGTCCAGCCAGAGGCCCAAACTCGAAATCACAAGCCTACAAAGGTCCAGTCCTCTTTACCTCTCCAAGAAGTCAAAGATCAACTCTCACAGCCCCCCGAGGAAGCTGAACCTTCTGTAACCCAGCAGGCTCCCCGTGCTCAGTATGAACTTGGTACTGAGAATATAGGTCAGCTGTCGATGCAGGAGGCAAATGCGCCATCTGGAAGTAGGAATGAAGCTCAGCATTCAAACATGGCATTTGTCACAGTGAGACCTGTGGACATGAAGGTTACCACATCTGCAGAGGCAGGGAAAAAGCCACAACCTACTTCAAGCCACCTGCAGACCCTGACCGAAGCCCCAGAGAGTCCTGAGGAGGAAGAACCTTCCTCAACCCTAGAAGAAATCCTGGCTCAGACTTCAGAGCTCTCTGAAGAAATGGAAATGTCCTCAACCCACCAAGAGGCCCCAGCTCAGCCTCTAGGCCCTCTTGTGGAGGCTGAACTTTCTGCCACTAAAACAAAGCCAGCTCAACCTTCTGAGTCTTCCAGGACAGAAGAACCTTCTGAAATCCAGTTGAAAGCCCCAGATCAGCCCTCAGATTTGGAAACTGAAGAGCTGGAAACTTCTCCAACCCAGTTGAAGCAACCAGCTCAGCTTTCAGAGCATGGTGAAGAAAGAGTGTCAACTCCACATCACCACAAAGCTAAGCATCCACACTTGCTCCATGTGACTGGTAAACCTCTGAATCTGCAGCTTGCCAAAACCCCAGAACCCACCACAGAGGAGGGAAACTTCCCAGTGCTCCCCAAGGCTGCAGCTCAACCCTCAACTCCAGTGAATGATGTGGAACCTTCTCTAAGTCAGCAAGAGGCCCCAAGTCTGTTTTCTGAGCCCTCCGAAGGAGCTGAGCTCTCACAATTTCAGCAGGAGGCTCCAGCTACATCTGCAGAACTGACTCAGCAAGAGACCCAAGTTGGCAATCTACACACTTTTGAGGAGGGTGAACCATCTTGGACCACTCAAGAGGCTGCAGCTCAGCCTCCAGAGCTCCCTAATGAACTCATACCTCAGCCTCCAGAACTACAGGAGAAAACAGTCTCTCCTGTAGGTGATGAGCAAGTTCAGCCTCCAACACTGACCCGTGGTGCTGTTACTTCTGCAGAGTCATTGTCTAGTGAGGTTGAAATTGAAAGTTCAAGTGCACAGGAGGCCCCAGCTCAGTCCTCAGTGTCCCTTGAGCAGCTTGAACCTCTTGGAGACAGTCAAGAGCTTACAACTCCACAGCCAAACCCTGCCGTAAAGGATGAACTCTTTCCATTTGATAGGGAGGTTCCAACTCCACACCCAGAAATTGCTGGGGAACATTCCCCAGCCCAGCCCCAGAGCTTAGCTATGTCCCCAGGCTCCTCTGGTGTAGCAGTTTCACCAATGCAGCAAGAGCTCGTAGCTCAGTTTTCAGGACTCCCCGGGAAGGTTATTCTTTCTCTTTTGTTGACAGAGAGAGTAACATTTTCAGCCCAGCCTTCAGAGCCACCTGAGGACACAGAACCATTTTCAGTCCCCTGGGAGGACGATGCAGCTCCACTTTCAGAGCCACCCAACGAGATGGAACCTTCTCAAGCTCAGCAGATGACCCCACCTCAGCCTGCAGAGGAGGAAGAACCATCTCCCGCACTGCCACCAGCTGCATCTCCTCCTCCACATCCTCCTGAGGAGGTAGAACTTTCTCCAACCCAGCCCATAATGCTCCCTCAGCTTCCAAGTGAGCCACCCAGTGAGAGCGCAGCTCACCCTCCACCCCGTTCTGAGACGACAGTTCCAACTCCAGCTCAGGGTCAAGCTCAGCAGCCAAGCGTCGCACTTCATCCTTCGGACCTGGAAGCCACCATCATTCCAGAACGTACTACAAATGGTGAATTTTCTACAGCCCTGAAGAAGGCTACAGCTCTTCCTCCGAAGCACCACGAAGTGACACTTCCACCTCCAGACTGGGTTCAGACTCAGCATTCAAAACTCAGTCTGCTCACAGGCCGACCTTTGCACAGGAAGCTTATCAGTGCTCCAGGAACTAGTGCAAAAGTTAGGTCTTTTCCAACTATGCCCAAGGCCCCATCTCAGCCTCCAGAACCACCTAAGGTGGTTCCAACTCCAGCGTCTCATGAGGTGAAAGTTGGAACTCCAGGTCTGGAGCCAGCTCAGCATCCAACACCACCCACAATCACAGACCAACCTTTGAACCCGGAGCTCACAGCTGCAGTACTCACCATAGAGACTCAGGTTTCTGTACCTCTGCAGGAAGCTGCATCTCCTCCTCTAGAGCAGCCTAAGGTGATGCTAACACACCCCAAGCAGGTGCAGGCTCAGCATCCAAACCTGGCTGAAGTCACCATTCAGCCTTTGGATGTGAAATTTGTGGTCACTGAGTATTCTGTGAGTCACTCTCCAGGAAAGGCTTCCACGCTGCAAGAGAAGCAGAATGCCAGGACACACACTGACATATGTGAGCTCTGTACCTGCCGGAATGAGACCTTGTCGTGTACTGGTCTCAGGCCAAAGCACAAGCTCCACCAAGTGCCTGTATTAGAGCCCAACAACACCTTTACCACCTTCAATTTCCAAGAAAATGCTATTTTTCACCTCGGTAAGAAGAGCTGGACAACATACAGGTGGGCGGAGAAACTAAATCTCAGTGAAAATGGCCTGACTGGATTACATAAAAATTCCTTTAAAGGCCTGCTGTCCCTCCGGTATTTAGATTTATCCTGCAATAAAATACAGTTTATTGAAGCACAAACATTTGAAGCACTACCCTTTTTGCAGGTTTTAAATCTTCGCTGTAACTTAGTTACACAGATTAGCTTCGGGACGTTTAGGGCATGGCATGGAATGCAGCTTTTGCACAGAGTCATCCTCAATCACAATCCTCTGTCGAGTGTTGAAGATTCCTATCTTTTTAAATTGCCAGCATTAAGATATCTAGACTTGGGGACAACACACACGCCACTTCTGGCGGTCGAGAACATCCTCATGATGACACTTGAATTGAAAACACTGATCATACCGAGGCACATGGTCTGCTGCCTCTGCCAATTTAAAAGTGATATTGAGGTTGTCTGCAAGACAGTCAAGCTGCACTGTGACAGTGAGTGCGTGACCAATCCCACACAGTGTCTTGAGGAAGCCCCTGTAGGGAACCCAGAAGGAGTCTTCATGAAGGTGTTGCAGGCCCGGAAAAAGAACACCAAGACTGAGCTGGTGATTGAGTCTGGAAAGTCATCTTCCGAACAAAGTGATGTCAGCTGGTCAGACTTCATGGACGAGGAGCTTGACTCTAATGATGAAAATGATGTGGCTGGAGTACTCAATCATATCCTGCCATATTTCTCAGAGGTAAATCTAGAAGATGTAGACTCATTATTGCCACCCATTCAACTCCTTTTCTCAGCTATCCAAAATGAAGCTAATCCCCAGGGTTACATGAAAGGCAATATGAAAAACCCCTCTCATCAACCTGTGTCCAGCAGTTTGGCTTACAGAAATGAACTGAAGAAGCTGTATTTTCTGCAGAGTTGGTTAGACGCAGAAATTCAGGGGAAACTTGAGGAGGTTAAGAAAAAAGAGAAAACAGGCATGCTTACGCAGTCCAGCCTTTCAAGTCCCAAATTTCACATCATTCCCGACGTTCCCGAGAAATTGGCAAGTGCTCAAGCACAGGAAAACAGGCTGGTGGAAGATCAGCATGAAGGGAAAAGGCAGCGGACAGTGGACAGGGTCCTCAAGGGCCCGAAGGGCCTACGGAAAAGACTGCTCGAAGAGAGGCAGAAAGAGAAGGTGAGGGAGAAGCAGAGCACCCAGCCACTGGCCAAAAACACCGCAGACAGACGGAGCCTCAGGAGCCCCAGCACAGAGAAGCCGGGGCAGAATGAGGGGGTGCTGGGGCCCGGGAACCCGCTCCGTACAGAACAGAAGGTGCCCGTGTCTTCCGCCCTGCAGGATCCCCTGCTTCGCAGGCCGGCCACCTCCGCCTTGCCCAAAGCCCCACATTGGGCGAGGAACGGAGCCAAAGACCTCACCAACAGCATTTGGGTTTTAAAAAATGCCAGTGCGAGAGTTAACAGTATGAAAGCTACCAAACCGATCTTAGGTTCTAAAAATGGTCATGACTTATATAAAACTGCCTCTCTCAAGGCCCACAGAACACTCGAGGCTGACCCCAGGGAGCAGCTCATGGAGGAAGACACACGCGGGAAGCTGAAGATTGCAGAGGGGCCTCTGTTCGCAGCACTGAGGAGCCTCATCCATTTCCCCTCTCAAGGGCTCCTCTCATCCTCTGGAGACCCACGCGTTCAGGACCATCCTTTCCCCGAATTACATGATCCTGCCGAAACCACTACTATAGAAAACCAAGCTGCAGGAAACACCCCTGAAAAAAATGTTTTTGCCACAAACTCTCTGATTTCTGCCACAAATTCTGCCCTCACCCTGATATCCACCGATGACCACACCAATGAGAGACACTGGGAGTACACCAGCACCAGCTCTGAGCCACCCCCTCCAGAAACCTCTGTCCCCTTGCTGTCGTCCCCCGGAGATGAGTTTGAGACCCAGCTAAACCAGCAGCTTCACATCCTCATTCCCAACAAGGAGTTTAGGAGGTTCATTTGGTATATGATAAGAACTTTCAAAAGGGACTGTTCCGAGCCCAGCATGCACCTGGCCTGTGCCAAGCTCATCTCCAGAACAGGCCTCCTGATGAAGCTGCTCATGCTCAGTGAGCAGCAGGAAGAGAAGGTGGCCCAGGCCCAGTGGGACACGGAGCAGTGGAAGAGCGAGACCTACATCAAGGAGAGCTCGGGGGTCTCCAGCAATCAGAAGGCGCAAGGCGAGCCAAGAGGCCACACACAGGAAGTTCCGGGACACGGCTACAACAAGAAGCTCATCCTGGCAATATTAGTGACAGGGACCTCAATGCTTCTGATCATCATTCTCTGTCTCATCAAGATTTGCTCCCACAGAACAGCTTCGGGGAAAGATGACAGAGGGTCGTCAAATAGCGTTTGGAGGCAGAGAAGGAAGTACTCAAGGAAAAAGGACAGTCAGGAGGGCGTCTCCCGGTTTAGGCTGCTGCTGTGGTTCAGGGACCTGAGCAGGCTTCTCAGAGTCACCCAGCAGCAAAGCATGGTGCAGAAGCTGCACGACAAGGACTCTTCTGACGAGGATGAGAGTGTCGTATGGGGTGCAACTGACGCCCCCTCAGAGGCAAAGGAATCCACAAAGTCAGCTGAGTGACCCCTTCCCACCTTAAGTGAGTTCAAAAAAATTTCAAAATGAAATCCCAGGTACACAGGCACATCCTGGCTGTGCTGACTTTGGGAGGAGCTGGGAGGAATTTGTTCAGGGGCCCAATCCCGGCCTTGGCCCTGGGTTGTGGCGGTGTCATTGAGAGGGGTTTTGAGGGCCAACCTTAGCAACTCTCCAAGGCGGGGGGCATGGAGCCCTGGCTCCATGTGTGAAGGAGCAGTGTGGCCCTAAAAGGACACCAGGTGTCAACCATGGGACACGTTCTACTTATTTCACCGCTTAGCTGTCCAACTTTCCGGCATGTACGTGGATGGACGGATGGATGGGTGGATGTTAGATACAAAGGACATGGCTATGAGTCATACTTTCCTTTGTCCTGGGGATGGAACCCAGATCTTTCACACTGAACTACATCTCTGGCCCTTTTCAACTTGTTTTTTATTTTGATACAGGATCTTGCTAAGTCACTAAATTGCCCAAGCTGTGCTAATACTTGCAGTCCTCCTGCCTCAGCCTCCCAGAGTGCCGAGATTACAGGTGTGAGCCACCACACCTGGCTGGAACATACTCTAGGAGGCTGGCCCTGACCCCACGGGTGTGAACCTAAACTTGATCAAGAGCAAAGCAGGTAGAGGTCCCGGGTCATGGGCACGGTGCTTTGAGTCGTCAGCCTTTTGCCCCAGGGTATTCCCCCAGGTAATGGAGGAGTCTGGGAGGGGTGGTGCTGATGGAAGAGGACCTCCACTTGCACTCCAATGACAATGCAGAGAATGCTCATTACATAGAGGCAAGTGACCAGCGCCCGCTCCAGCCACCAGTGCACAGTTGCTCGTCGTCCTTTTGCTGTTTTACACAGTAATTAACTCCAAAAGATATATCCCCTGCCCCTTAGTCATTTACAATAAAGATCAGTGTCATCCTTTACACTGAGTGACGGAGCCAGCCGTCACTAGACGAACAGTACCTGAGGAGAGGGGTGAGGATTAAGAAAGACAACACAAATTCGGGAGAAAAGAAAAGGAGAGGAGAGGGAGAGCCTTCTCCTTCCCACTTTATTGAGCCTCTTATATATCCTCCTTCATTACCCACAGCCTCCCTCCCCTCCTCCCCTCGTGACCAGGTGACTAATTATTTTTACAGGGAAAAGGTCAATTATATTTTTACAATTCTGGGAATGTTACTTTCTTGTCCAGCAGTCATTATGTTCTTATCTGACTCAAAAATCTCAAAAAGCTATCCTGGCTCATTATATTCTTATCTGACTCAAGATCTCAAAAGGCTCAGGGTTGTTTCAACCCTTCACTCTCTGCAACTGAGTAAGATTGAAACCTGTTCAAGTTCCTTTGTTCTTGAATGTGAGACTGAGCTGGGCTCCAAGGGAGCAAGGGTGAGGAGCTGGCTTTCCTATTGGCCTCCTCTGATTGCCAGACCCTTGCGTTGGAGATGGAGACCATTTACAGAGCATTTATCATGTGCCAGACATTGCACTAAGCTGTAGCTAACATCCCCAAATTGTCTAGACTCTAGCAAGGAACCCTGGCAAGTAAGCCACCTGTGTAATAGAGATGGAATCACTCAGGTGCATGGTGGTGAGAAGCTGAACTTTGGTGTTGCCAGTGGGAATGAAGAGACGTGAATGGAACTGAGAGAAACTGAGGACGAAGGAGAATGGCTTGGCTGAGGTGGGAGGGGAAGGGTGGGCTCAGTGTGGCTGACTCCTGGGTTCATGGCTTTGCTGTCTGGCAAAGACAAAGGAGATGGGTCCTTTGCTGTGTGGAAGGAAGAGAGATGGATTTGAGGAGACTGAGGATGGGTTCAGCTTTGTGTGTGTTGATGGCGAAGTTCCCATGCTCTTCCAAGGGGGGGAGTCCATTAGATAGTGGAATCATTTAATACAAGATACTGTTGAAAGAAAAGAAGAAATTATTTCATACACACAAGCTTAAAAAGTACATGGGTTCTCTTATATGCGAAACCCAAAATATAACAAAAGCCAAAATAAAAGATAGCTAATAGGGAATAGGGAGATGGATCTTTTTGGGGGAGATGGATCTTTTTTGGGGAGATGGATTTTTTTTTTAAGTTGTTTTATTGGTACATTTTAGGTATCCCAGTTCGTTTACGTTTATCATTGGGTGCTTGTACCTGTACATGATGTATCTTGGTTCTTATTTTTTCCCCATTCCCTGTGTGCCCTTCACCCC